GGTTCCTGGCAGCATCAGGCATGAGTCAGGTATTCCTATCCTGGGAACTGCCTAGGATATTTTAGCAGCCATCTCTCTTTGGACTAAAATATACAGAATTGGACCTTGTCAAAACCTGATCCTTATCAGTCAGCAGCACAGTAATACACATTGAGACACTTTAAATAAAACCTAGATTTATTAACAATTATCCTCAATGATGGCTGTTTAAATTATATTTAAATAGCAACCTCGTAGAGCCAAAGAAAGTTTCTCAATTCAATGATCTTTTATAAAGCAAAGAATACTTTTCTAATAATAAAAAAAAAGCCTTCCCAGAAATACTTTTGTCAAGGAGATTATCTTTTGGAGTAAGAAGGTGTGTCTGCTTTCCAAGATAGAAATAGATTTAAATAGCCATTTTCAGCCAACCATTTATTATGTTAAAGTTGCCAGTACTCTACTGGACTACCTGCTAATTTGTTTCATCATCTTGATAGAAATTTACTTAGTCTTTACGTCCAATAATACTAATGTAATATATGGTACTACACCTCTAAGTAGAGTATTTTAAAGAATCTTTCTAAATTTAGTATGTTACAGTGTTACAACTCCTTTCCCATATCGTTAAGAATCATGCTTTGGTAACTTCCCAATCTCAGATATTTTTAAAGTGTATAGTCTACAGAAAAATGATTCAAAACATGAAACAGATCATAATGAAGAGCAAGTTGTAAACTTCCACTATGGGATCAACGCATCTATTAAACTGCTTTCCCTATGACTTCACACAAAGCCATATAAAAACTCAGTAATTAGAATTAAAAAAAAAAATCCTGTTCATCTACATAAAGCAATATTTTTAAACTTTTAAAAACAAAGTAATGGTTTAAATCTGTGGTCCCCAACCTTTTTGGCATCACGGACCATTTTCATGGAAGACAATTCTTCCACAGACCGAGGAGGGAGGGATGTTTTTGGGATGATTCAAGTGCACTACATTGATTGTGCACTTTATTTCTATTATTATTACATTGTAATACGTAATGAAATAACTATACAACTCACGATAGGTTGGGGACCCCTGGTTTAAATGATTTAATCTCTTTACACTTCTGATTACCTAATAAACCTCAATCTTTTGATTCTTCTAATTCACATATCAAACTGGTGTCTACCAAAAAAGTGTGTTTTGTTTTGTTTTAATTTGAATCGGTTGCCAAAAATCTGGATTTGCACCTTTTCTCTTTCTTTTTTTTTAAAGGGAAGATCTGGCAACACTGGGCCTACAGATTTTGGCAATGGTGAAATTTGGAGGGAGCTGCATAGCAGCTGCCATCATCTGATAGCACATGCATTTTCTAGCTTCCCCATGCTCTTTGCTCACTTGGTTACCTGCCTGGTCTTTACAGCCATCAGAGTTTGAAATCTTTATTTCATTGAGAACTTTATTTTTCTGTCTCTTAGAAGCCTTAAAAGAAACTAGCTATAAAAATCTTGATCACAGAAACAGAATAGTTCAAGTGTTGATCCAGGCATTACTTTGTTTTAAAGCTATCTATTCCAAATGTTAACTATAACTAATAGGACACCATTAAAATGTAGAAGGCACTTAACTGTTAAGAAAGAAGCTTGTAGTATCCTAACTTTGATCTGTCTTCAACTCCTCAAAGAATCAAGATATTTAGCTTTTTATCCTTCCCAAGAACAGAGACATTAACCCTATCTTTCAATATTATGTCACTCTAAGAGCACCAAATAGCTTCCTAAATCTGTATAACAAAAGTAAAGAGAAAAACAAGAAGTCAAAAAGGTCTCAGATCAGCCAGAGATCACACAGTTCACAAAACACAAGAAACCCTCTTCACACAGAGCCTACAGGATCTTATTTTAGACACAATTTTAATAAGCTCCGTGATCTGGTTTCTTAGCCCACAACAGATGAGATTCAGCCAACTGGAAAAGGGCTGGGGGTGGTGCTGCTAGAGGCAGGCACTCAAAGCATCAGAATCAAAGCTGAAGACCTAAAAAGTCAGCAGAAAACCTCAAAACATATCAGGGTGGGGCCATGCAGTGCAGATACGAACAATCCCAAAGGATCCCAATCCCTGTCTGAAAGTACCCTGGATGTTCATAATGACACCCTTTGGTACATTCTGCTTATAGCATGGGTCAGGAGACCTTAAGACGGTATCAAAATAACGTCCATCAAAAGCTTTTTCCAAAAAAGACATGGCCTTTAAAAAGACTGTCAAGATCACAAACATGAATAGTGTCCCTCTGTCAAAGAAACAAGATATTGAATTCCTAAAGATGCCGCATGTCAAACCTGGTATTTCTTAGAAAAAGAAAGATGCGGTTCACAACATTTAAAGTTGAAAAGATATTTAAGTAGAATTATTTTATCAGTGAATGATTATTGGGAAGGTTCAAGACTAAGACTTAAGTACATAAACCAAGCAAGTCTTTTGGGGATTCCATTGCAGATACATTACTAGGACTGAGGATAAGACAGAACTAGTCTTATCCACACCTAGTAAGTCCACCATCTAACTTAAAACTGGTGTCATACAAAAAGTTTGAAAAAATTGATCTCCATTTTGTTTATACAATCTTTTTGACTGGTTTACTAAAAATAAATTTCATTTTTCTAATCACTGGCACTCTCACAAAATTCAAGCCATACTGTGAGGAAGGGAAGTATCCTCCTCCTCCTATAAACCAGAGGGAAAAGGTTAACATTGAGTTTTAAAAGTTCAAATTATTTCTAAACTTGATTTTCTTATTAAAAATTGTAATATAGGGCATATTTTAGAGAAAATCTATTCCAGAAAATATGTAGTAACACATAAGAAACCATATAACTGGAGGCAAGTATTATTAGAAAATTAAAATGTATGTTTTGAGTCAAAGTACTATTTCCCTCCATGAAGAAGTCTCTATAACACACGTATCAATCAATATAGAGATTAAAGGCTACATTTCTTGGTCTCCAAATTATCACACATAATACTCACTTGGTCCTCTTCAGATTTTAAAATAAGAGCCCAATTTTCTATAAGTATAAACCTAGTGGCATTTCAAGTTGGTAAGTTCCCAATTAGATTCTATAAGGAATCTACTTCCTAAAAACCTTAAAAATACATATGTATGTATTTACTTGGATGACTATTCCTCAGTGTGCTCCTACCCCTTAAATGGTTCTTTGAGAGATCTTTGCTTAAGATTCAAACTTCTAGGCCGGGTGCGGTGGCTCACGCCTGTAATCCTAGCTCTCTGGGAGGCCGAGGCGGGCGGATTGTTTGAGTTCAGGAGTTTGAAACCAGCCTGAGCAAGAGCGAGACCCCATCTCTACTAAAAATAGAAAGAAATTAATCGGACAACTAAAAATATATAGGAAAAAAATTAGCCGGGCATGGTGGCGCATGCCTGTAGTCCCAGCTACTCGGGAGGCTGAGGCAGAAGGATTGTTTGAGCCCAGGAGTTTGAGGTTGCTGTGAGCTAGGCTGACGCCACGGCACTCACTCTAGCCCGGGCAACACAGCGAGACCCTGTCTCAAAAAAAAAAAAAAAAGATTCAAACTTCTTTTAACAAATACTCTGCTTCATTTTAGTACAGGATTTATTGTCTAAAGTCTGCCCTTTTTCATTTGTTAGAAATCAAAGAAGTCAAAAGAAGTTGGTAGGGAGCTAACCTAATTTATAGTAACCAATGGGATTCACTCTACATTAAAGGTCTTCGATCAAGAATGAAATGAGGACCAACTGCTGAACTGAGGTGTTTAAATCATCAATCTGCATTCTTACTTAGTTTAGGGCAAGGTGAAAACTGGTTCTCTTCCTCTTGCATCTCCATCCCGTCATTCAGAATGGATAATCCCAGGACCTACTTCTCACTAAGTAGCTACAGATTTAATACAGCCAATCTCAGAACCCAAGTGAAACATCAAACCAAAATTAACAGCGGTGCCTCCCCACTCCTAAGAAAAAACATGATCGTATATGGCACTAAGAAGTTACAATATTGGGGGGGAGAGGACCTAAACTTTAAACCAAGTCCATACTCTAGAAGTAGTAGTAGGAAAACCTCCTTATCAATAACTATATGAATAACCCCTCATTTTAAAAAGAAATCCTTTCTAATAGAAAATCTAGTAAAACCCCTGCTAAGTTAAAAAGGTCTCCCTGAACATACCACCTAATTTCTTCGTTAAATTTCATTTTGTGAAGAGACCGTGAAAGGAATTTTTGTGTAATTTCTCCGGTGGTTTTCCATGTTCACGTTTCTATTTCTACCACTACCGATTTAACGGCTTTCCTATTAGATCTAATCCTGCAAAACTGAAGTGTTAGTTTCTGACTACATACGGCCATCTCAAGAAATAAAATGCATCTCCCTTTACTTCCCTCCGCCCTCCTAAGTCATTTTTTTCCCTTCTTACTTCTAACAGTTTCTGGACGAGCAGGGTGGACCGAAGTGTGCAGCCTCCCAAGAGGTAAGTGAACTAAAAAGAAATACTTGCGAATCGGGCAAAAAGGCTTCCTCCGTCTGCCAGAGAGATAAGGGCCCGGATTTCAGGCGGTTCTGTGTAGAGAGCTAAGGCAGGTGGGGGGAGGAGGGAGCAAAGATGGGACGAGGAGCTCTTTCGACCTCGGTCGATGGGGCTGCCCAATGCCCCAGCGCCACCCCCGACCCGGTCAGCCTGGCCGGACAATGGCCCTCAAGCGCAGCAGTCCCAGGTTGGAGAGAAGCCCTGGGATTCCATACCACGCGGGCCGGGAAAGGCAGCAGGAGAGGAACGTAGAGAGCACCTCGGCCTAAGCGCGGGCTGCGCGCCGGGGCCTCCACGGGCGCCATCACTGGGAGTGGGGTATGAAGGCCGCCCCGCGGGGCCAGCGCTGGCAGCAGGATCCAAAGAGGCCGCGAGCCCGGAGGAGGCGACGACGGGAAGTGCAGGCCACAGCCTGCTCAGCTGGCCCGCCCAGTGGCCCATCCCCGCAGCTGACCTCCAGTCGCTTACCTTGTGGATTCTCTTCAGAGCCATGGTGGGAGGCGGGTGGCGGCGGCCCCCGGGGCGGGGACGGGGGCGGGGGAGGGGCGGGGACGGGGCGAGGGAGCCTGAGGCTGCCTCGGCGATCGCGGTCGGCCGGAGAATGTGGGAGTTTGGGAGAGGGGGAGTCTGGTGGGACGGGCTGAGGGCCGGGGCCCACTCAGCTCCTGGGCCTGTCGCAGCGGTCACCGCATCACCCGGCGGCGGCCCCTTTATGCGCTGCCGCCCCAGCCGCCGCCGCCGCCGCCGCCGTAGCTGCCTCTTCTTCCCAAGCTCAGCGCCGCCTCCACAGCCGCCGCGGATCCCTCCGCCGAGGAGCAAGCGCCCAAGCCTCGGGCTCAGCAGGCGCCTCCCGGTCGGACGGCCGGAGGGACTGCTTGCCTTCCCTTGCTGCAGGTGGACGGAGGGACGCGCGGGCGGGCGGGCAAGCAGGCGGGCGGCGCCGCCGGGGTGGGGCCGTCAGAGCGCGGGGTGGGCCCAGGCCGAGGTGCAGGTCGGGAGGCGCGGGGATTGGCGGGCCAGGGGAGGGAGGGCCGGGCCGCGCCGGCGGCGGAGGGATACGGGCCGCCCTGTGAGTATCTTACGCGCGTAGCCGTCACCGTGGCCGCCGCCGCCACGGCCGCGGAGGGGATGACGCCGCAAAGCGCTGGAAGGAGATCTCGCGAGAGACGGGGGGCGGATTCCGGATGCTCCCGCGCCGCGACCCTGGAGTCCTGGTCCTGTGGTACCCCACGCTCGTGTCGTCAGAGGTCAATAAAAGTTGAAAGGCAAACGTTTCCCAAATAGCTTGACTGTTCCCGTATCAATCATAGGAGGAGGCACTTAGACCCATTGCAAAGTTCCTGAAGAAGGAAGGTACTTGTCTAAGGTCACACAGCTCCTCAGTGGCAGAACTGGGACTTTTCTGAAGTCGCGGATCTTAATCAGATCCAGATCCCTTTCTGGAAGCCGTGTGGTAACAGCCTGGGCACCTGCCGGGAATGAGGTTTCTCAAGCGTGCCGCGGACAGCGCCGAGATTGGCATTTCAGACTGAGGGCCTACGCTACAGTATGTGGAGTTGTATTTTAGGAGATGGAGACAAAATTCACTGAGCACCTACTCTGTCCCCAGTCCTACCCCTTGACCAGAATGAGCTACGAGGCCAGCCCAGGGCTGGGAGGTGCTTATTATCTGACTGGAAACACTTACATAGGAGAATAGTAAGGAATGTTTTCCTGGGAGGTAATTCCCACATTCTCAAATCGACCTCCAGGGTTTTCCGATTCCAAATCTGTCTTCTTTTCTACTTGTCTGGAAAGGACCTTGCAAATTGTTGATTCTAACTCCTGAATTTAGAGAGGAAAAATCTGGAGCCCAACTAAGGAAAGGACCTTGTAAAAAGTCAGTAGGCGAGTGGCAAAGCTCATACTGCCTCACCTACTTAGTAGAGAAGGTTAGACCATAAGGTCAGGGCCACCGTGGACCCAGTGAGAGAAAATTGCATCGAGTCATCCAGGGTAGGTAGATTTGAGGTTGAGGGTGAAGAAGAACATTCCACAGCCACAGATACTTTCTTCCCAAGAAATGTGATGGGAGAGGTACAAAAATGCCCACTGGTCAGATTTTTAAATTTTTTTCTCAATAACATTTTTGTATTAGAAAAGCAATATATATGTTGTAATAAATACAGATAAGCACAAGGAAGGAAATAAAAATCACCCATACTCTCATCATCGAAGTTTCAGCCACTTTTCACATTTGGTTAATGTCCTTCCAGTCTTTTTTCCTTACATATAAATACATATTTTTCTTTTAAAACTTTAGGGTCATTCCCTAATACTGTTTTGCAATCTTACTTTTCAAATAAACAACATACAGTGAATTTTCTTATGTCAAACATTTCTATCTTATTTTAACAATTACATATTCTATCATATAAATGTACCATATTTGAGACCCTGTCTCAAAAAAAAAAATGTTGTGGGTGAACTACAGATATCCTGCAGTTAATCTTTATATAGCTCTAAGAGTGCTTCTTTAGGATAAATTCCTAGAAATGAAATTGCTGCATCAAAAAATATGCAGATTTTTACATCTATGTTCACAAGGGATATTGATTTATAATTTTATTTTCTTGTACTATCTTTATCAAGTTTTCACATCAAGGGCTGGTTACCATGGCTCACACCTGTAATCCTGGCACTCTGGGAGGCCAAGGCAGGAGGATCACTTGAGCTCAGGAGTTCAAGACCAGCCTGAGTAAGAGCGAGACAACATCTCTACTAATTAGCCGGGTGCAGTAGCTCCTGCCCATAATCCCAGTGCTTTCGGAGGCCCAGGTGAGGATTACTTGAGGCCAGGAGTTCGAGAGCAGCGTGGGCAACATAGCGAGACCCTATCTGAGCATGGTGGTGTGCACCTATAGCACCAGCTACTCAGGAGGCTGAGGCAGGAGGATAGCTTGAACCCAGTAGTTTGAGGTTGCAGTGAGCTATCATTGTGCCACTGCACTCCAGCCTGGGCAACGGAAGGAGACCTATTCCCTAAGAAAAAACCCTCCAGGGTTAGATGGCGTCACTGGTGAATTCTATCTAATATTTATTAAAGGAAGAAAAAAATAGCAATCCTACACAAACTCATTCAGAACACAGAGGAGCGAACACCTTCCCAATTTATTTTATGAGACCAGCATAACCTTGATGTGAAAACTTTTTTTCTTTCTTTTTTGGAGACATAGTCTCACTGTGTTGGCCTGAGTAGAGTGCCATGGCGTCAGACTAGCTCACATCAACCTCACACTCCTGGGCTCAAGCAATCCTCCTGCCTCAGCCTCCTGAATAGATGGGACTACAGGTGCATGCCACCACACCTGGCTAATTTTTCTATTTTTAGTAGAGACGGGGTCTCACTCTTGCTCAGGCTGGTCTTGAACTCTTGAGCTCAGACGACCCTCCTGCCTCCGCCTCCCAGAGTGCTAGGATTACAGGGGTGAGGCACCCCGCCCGGCCTCCCTGTATGTATGTCTGATGTTAGTGATGTGAGTTTTCTCTTTTTTTTTCTTGAAAAATCTAACAAGGGATTTATCAATTTAATTATTATAATTATTCTAAAGATCAGACTTTTGTCCTTGTTATTTTCTGTGTTGTTCAATCCATTTTCTATTTTACAAATTTCTGCTCTTATTTTTACTATTTCTTTCTACTTTGGATTTAATTTGTTCTTTTTCTAGTTTCCTAAAGTAGGAGCTTAAATCATGATTTTATACCTTTCCTTTTTATTAATAAAAGCACTTTTCTAATAAAGTACTGAAAGCACACTGCTTTTGCTACATCCCCCAAGTTTGATATATTATATATATTGTATTTTCATTTTCATTCAATTCAAAGTATTTTCTAATTTTCCTTTGATTTATTCTTTGAGGGTTATTTTCAAATATTTTGGAATTTATTAGTTATCAAAGAAATGTAAGTTAAAATCACAATGAGGTGCCATTTCACACACAATAGAATGGCTAAAATAAAAAGCATTGACAACAATAAGTGGTGACAAGGATGGACAGCAATTGGAACTCTCATACCTTGCAGGTGGGAGTGTAAAATGGTATAACTGGTTAGGAGAACTGTTTGGTAATTTCTTAAAAATATGCATCTTCCATATGAACCAGCAATTCTACTCTTAGGTATTTACTCAAGAAAAATGAAAATATATGTCCACAAAAAGACTTGTACACAAATATTCTTAGCAGCCATTTCTGGAGACAGTCCAAATATCCATCAATAGGAGAATGGAATAATATTGTCATATATTCATACAATGGAACACTGCTCAACAATGACAACTAAAGGACAAATGATACACTCAACAGCATGGATGAATCCCAAATGATTATGTTAAGCAAAAGAAGAAAGACAAAAGAATATGGACTGTAGGGTGGGGGCATGGTGGAGGTGAGTAAACTCACAACTAATGGATGTGGAGCACACTGTATGGGGGAAGGGCAAGCTTGTAGCCAATGGCTTGGGTGAGGCAAAGACATTATAAGTAACCAAAATGTTTGTACCTTCATAATATTCTGAAATTAAAAAAAAAAGAATATGGACTGTATAATTACATTTATATTTTTTAAAGAATGAAAATCTTATATAATTGTTTTCTCCTTCAGGTGATTTTTCCTCCCACTCACCCTACCTGGGTTATACAGCCCTTGGTTTACCTTCCATTGTCCTACTCAAATTGTAAGCACACTGCATGTTCTTGGAGTTTGATCTCCTTTCTCATTTGTTAACCCAATGCTGCCAGCACTGTAGTATTTAAAGGCTTTCCTTTGGCAAAGGTGTTCTTAGAGCTGACAGCTGTGACCGTAGCTGGAGATTAAATGATAAAGAGGATATTCTCATTAATATAATATGTACTATAATAAATAGGCAGATAACTGCTGTGGGCTGAGTAAAGAGTAAAGCTCAAGCAATTTGGGAACTCTCTGTTTCTGGATCCCAGCAACCCTATAGGAGAGCGCATTGTGTCTTATGAGAATGGCAGAGTAAGAAGTATTGAGTAATCAGGTTTTGATTTTCTAGTTGCATCAGTATGATCTTTGTATTTCCTAAGGTGTAGTTTTAAAATGTAAGGATGTCCCCTTTAAGATGATACCACCATTACAGGCTAGCTTTTAGAGGTTATCTATTATACTAGAGGCTAATCTATTTCTTTAGAAAGCTAAGCTTTGTGAGTTTGAAATAGCTCATTTTTTCTTGGTCAAAAATCAGAACAGTGGTTTATCAAAGGAATTACACTTGATTTTACAGTCATTTTGTGCAGCTGCTCTCTCTTGTTATGTAGTTCAATTTGGAATGTGTCCTGCTTACTATTGGGATCTGGCACCATATTGTATTCATGCCCCCTTCACAGAAATTGCTAAGTAAAGAAATGACCCTAGCTTTGTCACCTGACTCTTATAACACTTTCTTATGTTTGTTGGCAGTCTGGTTTTGGCCTAAAAGTCACTTCTTTCAGGAAGCTTTCCCTGACCAGTCACCCTAGACTAGGTTAGGTGCCCCTAGGTTAGAGTCCTGGCACCAGAGATTGATCACACTTGATTGAAATTTTTGGACAACTGTCTCATTCAATAAACTGTCAGTTTCTGAAGGGCAGAGATGTTGTCTCTGTTGTCCCTCTTTTAATCCTCAGTGCCTGACATCTCAAAGACACTTGTTGGATGAATTCGTGAATGACTGGCTGAATAATGAGCAGCTCAAGAAAAACCTCTTTATACTCACACGTTGTTGGGCAAGACAGCAGCCCTTAAAACCTAAACACACTCATACACACACACTCCATGGTATCTAAGACTTTATGTTATAGAATTATGGTCTAAACTCGGAGCAGAGGGGTTCAAAATTCAGTAGGGGCCAGGTGCAGTGGTTCACACCTATAATCCTAGCACTTTGGGAGGCTGAGGCTGCAGGATCACTTGAGGCCAGGAGGTA